CCTCTTCCTCCTCCTCCTCCTCCTTAGCCTCCAGTCCTCCTCCTCGTCCTCCTCCTTTTCCTCCTCCTCCTCCTCCTCCTTCTCCTCCTCCTCCTTGTCTCCGTCACCCCATGCATCCAGCTGCCCGTATACTCCCCTCCGCCGTCCTCGGCTCGCATTGTGTCCAAGGGGCAGCCGTCCAAGGATGCAGGAGAGCGCGCGTGGGGTCATGGGCAGACATGATGACGCGGGCGAGCGGCGGGCGTGGAAAGGGCTGGGCGGGTGAGGCAACGGAGGGGAAAGGGGGGGGTGAGTTGGCAAAAGAAGGCAATGCCGAGGGAATGACGAGGTAACTTTCGGATACTTTCTTCAAACATTTCGCGGGGACTGCCGCCGGCGGACCCGACTCAGCCGCACATGAAAGAGCGACTGCCGTCGACAGACGCCCCTGCCCAGAAGCACGGAAAAGAAGCTCGGGCAAGACACCGCGCGCGCATCCGAGACAGCCCAAACGGCCATATTCATCAGGTCTCGCGCAGCGGGAACGAGGCGGGGAGGAACGCAAACGGACACAGGGGAAAGAAGCTAAGAATGAGGGAGGAAGCAAAAGTGGGAAGGCGCCGCGAGCCCAGGCGCGCGCGATGGTGAGGGGACGTTGGGTCTGTATCTCCCCGCATCACCACGCGGGCCCCCCATGAATGTTGCACAGTAATGGACTAAGTGAAAACTCCATCCACCTTGCTCGCGCGCTCTTCGAACGTGTCCATGTCAAAACGACTGCACTCAGAGCGCCTCCGCATTGTGGCGGTCGTGAGCGAGGCCTTGCCGTCGGTCATCTTGATAATCGCGGACATGCGCGTCACCACCGCGTCAATGCGCTGCTCCGGCGGGGCCCCCAGCGAGATTGACTTGCCCCTCGCGCTGCGGGTTCCCAGCCCCATCTCGTGGAACAGCTGGAACACCAGTGTAGCGGTGCTGTCAACGATGTTCGCAGTGGCGTCGCTCTTGAACTGGTCCTTCAGCTTGTTGACGGCGACTTCCTGGGACTGCGTGACGCAAAGGGCAGCGCCGATTTCCCCGGCCAGCGTGACGTTGCCGCGAAGAGCCTGAGGGTCAAACGCGGGCTCCTTCCGCAAGCACATACGCTTCTGGGCCGGGTGGCGAACTGCATCGCCCTCGCCTTCTGGGCCCCCATCCTCGATGCCAACCCCTGCGGCCTCTACTCGCGTCAGTCCGCTGGGCGGGCCGTCTGGCCCGGCTAGGCCGCCGAGCAGGCCGCGCACTTGGGAAGACGGCGGCAGCTGAGAAGGGGGCGGGGTCGGCTCTGGAAGCGCGACCTCGGCGGCGGCGCTGCTGAAAATGTCGCCGCGCGCCGATGCGTCGACGGCCGCCCCCTGCGCCAGGCTCATCATCGCCATCGCGGCGGCGGTAGCCGCGCCCCGGTTGACATCGACTGGGCCGAGCCCCTCCTCGGGGCGCAAAGCCCTCACGTCACCGATGGGCACAGTCGGGCTCCAGCGCAGCAGCCGGTTCGCGGCGAGCACGAAGCGCTCGTCATCCACTGGGAAGGGGCCCACCGCGCAACGGCCCTCCTGGACGCGCGCGAAGCCCATGAACGCCAGGATGAGGACATCGATGATCTTGGCGCGGATGTCATCGGCTGTCACCACGGGGCGCTGCGCGAATTTCAGCAGGTTGAAACGACTCTCCGCGATCTCCTTCAACGTGTTGGTCGGGTCGAGGCGCGCGGCGACGGCTGAGGTCATCATCTGGGCGGCGGTCTCGAAAGTTGGCGGTGGCGCGACCGCCGGGCGGGCGCGGTCGCTGAGAGAAGTCTGCGCCATCTTAGGCGCCCCCACTGCCATGCTGAACCCGCGGGCGAACCATGCCGCCAATGCCACGGGCGCGTTCACTGCAGCCTTGGCAGCGTCTCGCGGGATCTGCTTTGGCGAGGGGGCAGTCCTGCACAGGGTCTCCGGGCCCAGGGGCTCAAGGGCCACCAGTATGCGTTCTCCGTCCATTTTCTTCTTGTCCTCCTCCGATTTGAGGCTGAACGGCAACGAGGATGAAAGGCATTACTAGCCGGCCGCTCTGCGGTTGATCGGGAGTTTCTGTATATAGAAGAAAGCGCGCGACTGCGGGCGAGAGAAGGACGAGGGGGAGGCGGTGGCGCGGCGGATTGGGATGAGGAGGGTGAGGATCAGGAGGGTGAGGCTCACGAGTGTGCCGGCAACCAATGCAGTAGCAGCAGCAGGAGGAAGGAGGGACAGCCGCCCCGGTCGCTCCCCCTTGACCGCTTTCCGCGGCCGGGGGAGCGACTCGGGTCACCCTGGAAGGAGCGAGGAGGCGAGCGGGAGGCGAAGCCGCTCGGTCCAACCTCTGACGCCCGCCCCGTTCGTCCCCCCTGACCGCTTTCCGCGGCCGGGGGAGCGACTCGGGTCACCCTGGAAGGAGCGAGGAGGCGAGCGGGAGGCGAAGCCGCTCAGTCCAACCTCTGACGCCATCATCTGAGCCGCCTGAGGAGTAGTTATATGCAGGGAAACTTGCCTGCGAGGTAACTTGCTTGCAAGGTAACTTGCATGCGGATCAACCTGCCTTTGTTGAGCCCGCCTGCTGCTGCCTGCCCTGTGTATAATAGCGATTTGCTGCACAGTTGGCGGCGGACTCACGCTTCGTCTCCTCTCTCCCGATTCTACAGGAGGTTGGGCACAGGCGAGAGGTAGCGAGCGTTTGTCCGCGGCCGTTTGGGCTCAAGCGGCCGGCCGCCAACATATGACTGCGCCTCATCGCGAGGCACACGATTTGCCATTGAGACCGAAGACATATTCGCTTGATCTGGCTGGTCGCTCCCGCGACTCTCTCCTGCTTTTGAGATTACCCCTACTACGGTATAGCAGAGTTGGATCTAGGCTTCGCCTTTGGCGAAGCATCTGGTTGGGTTTCCCAGCCCCCTTCAAACTCTTGGGGCTCTCCTGGGACGTCTCGACTGTCTCGTGGGCCGTCTTGAAGCCGTCTGGGGCCGTCTTGGCGCCAACGTGGCCCGTATTGCAGCGATATTGGGCCGCCGTGGAGGCATCTGGACTTCGGGAGCGCGAACGTGTGGCATTTTGCGATGGGTGGTGGCTTTGGAAACGATGCGCGCAGCTGGGTGCGGCCTGGAAGGTGGGATGCCCCTAAGAAGTTTGCACGAACACTGCCAGGCAACATTCGGCACTCTAGCGCTCTAGGCCTCCTGGATGAAAGCGGAGTAGATGGGGTCGGGGTATCGCGCCGCATCGCCGATGCATCGACGATGCGGTTCGATGTGGAGGCCGCGTTTCCCCACGCCGACGTCGCCGATGCATCGCCGACGGCGCCGATGCATGGCCGATGCATTTGCGATACGGCGCGATCTTTCGACCCCATCTGTTCGGACCCCACCTAGGAGGCCTCTAAGCACGCCTCAACATGCCATGGGAAGCAGTGGCGGATAGTCGTGGGCTGCGACAGAATCTAGGTCACCCGCGGGGGCGCGAAGGTGGTGGCGCTTCGCGCGCCGTGGCCCCCTCATATCCAGGGGGGCCATTTTGTTCACGACCTTTTTTCGCTCGGCTTCGGGCCCTTGGGCCATATCACAGACCGATCCGGCTTTCAAGATACAGAAGAAGGATTGGGTCCAGGACTCCGGTCGTGATGTTGTGCGACGTGCCACTTTTGTTCGTATCGTCGGATCTCAGGGCTGGCCCCTCGCGCGTCGTGGTCTGGACCAGAGCGGCTGCCTTTCGTCAAGGGGGCGGCGCGAGGGCGCGGAGAAAGTCGCGCACCGCGTGGCGCCACGCACGAGGCTGGGCGGCCTGGAAAGTAGGTGACCTCGGACACCTTCTGTGCCCTCGACGCCAGGCGGCTGTCGGGTCATGACTCGGGCCTCCGGCGGCTGCTCGGGAAGATCCAGAAACCTCTGGAGAGCTCTCGACGAGGCGCAGCTGCTGGGAAGCATCGCGGGCGAGAAGACGTCCAGGAGTCAACGACAGTTCCCGAAGGCGGCCGACGGTGTCTTCGCTCCAGGCTCCTCCTTGCCCTTCACCTATAATGGCGAGTGCGCGAACCCTGGCATCCGCCGATATGATTTGTTCAATCCACGTCCTCAAAGGCCCGACCACATCTCCAGGGTAGCTCTTCGCCCCAGATCCGTTTTTGATGGTCCAGGGGCTCAAAAACCCTGAGGGCCGAAATCAATGACAAGCCGCAGGTTGAACAATCATATCGTCGGAGATCTGGGAACATACTCGCGCATCGCGTGACGCCATGCGCGAAGTTACGGCCAGGAGCTTGTGCTTAGCTTGTTGCGTCGCCGGTTCTGGCCAACCACGTTTCGGCGTGACACGCTAACCACGTCCCAGTCCCCAGGCGTCAACGTCTCGAGTCTTTGCCAGCCTCCCGCCCCGCGGAGCGGAGCGGCACGCTTTCAGCTCGCAGAGCACAGCGTGTCGCCGGGGCCGCCGCCGCGACACGCCAAGCAAAAGTCCCTGACCGTATAAAATCTGTGGTGAGCGGTGGTGGCAAGTGGGCACCGCGGAGGCCCTCTGCGGTGCCCGCGCGGACGTGCTGCGCCAGAGCGTGGCGATCCCCAGAATCGGTGTTGACTCGACAAGTCTGGGCGATTGCCGAACATCCCCGCCCCGTTCGATTCCCTGGTCGGGTGCGCTTGCCAGAGGGCTTCGCTTGCCGGGGTGCTTCCAGAGCGCTCTCGGAGCGTTCTGGAGTGCTCTATAGAGCGGCCGCGGCGCCCGATCCAAACCTCCGGGTCCCCGAGATCCCCGAGTTGCCCCGGTCCGATTTTGTCCTGGTCGGTCTTTCACCACCCACCAAACAACCCCAACCCAACCCGAAGGCTCAGATTTACCCTCGATTTCCAGCGGGGGGGGAGTAGGGAAACATCGAAAGAACACATGCGGAACCCTTACCCCCCCCAACCCGAAATTCGGGTCTTCGGGTTGGGTTGGGGTGGTCTGGTAGGTAGTCGGTCTTGGCTTCCTGTGGAGGCCCTCTGCAGCAGCCGCGCGGACGTGCTGCGCCAGAGCGTGCTCGAGGGCGTGGAGGTGCCGGTGCTCGGCGGCAGCGCGGGCGCGCTGCAGGACCTCGTCGAGGCGAGCCATGCGGTCTCTGCCCCCGCGGGGAGCACCTGCCTCTCCTCCTCGTCGTCCTCCTCCTCCTCCTCCTCCTCCTCCTCCTCCTTCTCCTCGTCGTCGTCCTCCTCCTCCTCCTCCTCCTCCTCCTCCGCTTCCTGCTGCTGCTCTTCCTCCTCCTCATCGTCCTTATCGTCTCTCCCTCCTTTCCCCCTCCCCCGCTGCCGAGGCCAGCCAGCCGGTGTCGGCGCCTGCGGGCGCGGGCGCGGGGCCAGGCGAAGGTGCCTCCGCGATCGCGGTGGACTTTGCCTCGCTGCCTCAGGAGTGAAGGGGGGGTTCGCCGAGGGGGGGGATCCCCCATTTCTCGCAGGCGATGTTTCTCCCCCAATCCCCGAGTTTCGCCCAAAAAGTTTGGCCGCTCAGAAAAATGGAAAAACCCTGGGATACACCCCAAGGGGGCTATTCGGACGCACCCCTATCGAGGATGGGCACCCCCCCATCGTATATCCCAGGGTTGGGCCCCAAATTTCTGGTCCATTCGGAAACCCCACGAAGCCTGGGATAGGGGTCGACGTATCCCTTGTTAATTTCGAGGCGGAGGTTCACCCATTCTGAAAGAAAGGTATAACGATACCAGCACCCTTGCCTCGTCGCCACGGCTGGATTCGCCTCGAAATTTTGGTTCACCTGGGAGGAGGTCCGAGGAGTTCGTAGCGGTGTTGGTATCGCGGTGGATTTCACCTCGCTGCCTCATGAGAAGCGGGTTCGGACACTGTTAGGAGGGTGTGGGTCCAGGGAGGGACGATTTGGCTTGGAATCGAGGTTCGAGGAGGTCCTCTACGCAGCGTTTTCATCGGTTCCTGGCGGTTTTCCAGCCTCGAGATGCCTTCCAGCGGCTGCGCCTCGGCGAGAGCGTTCCAGGGGTGCTCGGATATTTCCGAACGGCCGCTAGAGAGTTAAGTTCTGACCCGCAAACCTACGATGAAACTACGCTCGCAGCCGCCCTCGCGCACCGTATAGTGGTCGGACGGGGCTAGGACCAGGATAAGTCCGTTCCAGAGCGTTCCGGAACGCGCTCAGAGCGTTCCAGAACGCTCAGAGAACGCCGCGGCGCCAGAGACATCCTCCAGTGCCGCTGGATCTCAGAGATTCTCGATTTATCCTCACCCGAGTTTGTCCTCGTCCTATCTTGGTCTTACGTGGGCATTCTTCGAGGTTGGTTCGCGAGCAATAGACCTGCAACCAAATATGTGCACCATGCTTCGGGCAACGGCCCGCGTGCCGCCCTCGGTGGGGTTGGGGAACGGTTCTGGCTGGGTGCTCGCATTCCTTTCTTCCAGGGGCCGTGCAGAGCGGTTGTTCTCTCTGACCCCACCTGCTTCGGGGAAACGTAAGACTCGAGTACGCTGGAACTCGGGTTTGCCAACGCTTTTTGACGAGCGCGTCCCAGATTTTGACGGTCGGGTTTTCGTGGGATGTCTGCAGCGGGAGCTCGCGTCAAATTTCAGATCGGGTCTTGTCATTAACATGATGGCTCCGTCAGGCCAACCCGAGTCTTACGTCTCCCTGGCTCCTGCCTTGGTGGACTTCGCCATGCTGCCTCAGGAGGAGCGGGGTTCGCAGAGGCAGCGTTAGGAGGGAATAGGCTTAGGGGCGTCGCGGTGTTCAGTGGCAACGTTAGAGGGCGAGCTTTAGTTCTCGGAAGGCTGCGCATGTTTTCGGCAGTTTCCGAGACCTGGAGTGGTTTCCATCACTTGCGCCTCGTCGAGGGCGTTCCAGGGGTGCTTGGGTTATCCCGAGCGGCCGCTGGAGGCCCGAGTCACGGCCCGAAAACCGCCCAGACCAGAGGCGACGATACGGGGGACAGGCTCGGGGGCGGGGGGGCGCATCGACCCCCAATCGCCCACTGCATGCCAGTGCGGGCCCGATAGCCCTCTCCGCCTTGGAGCGTGCGGATTCATTGTCCGGGGCTCATCGCCTATCGGTGATGCATCGCCTACTGGGGACAAAGTGTCTCTGAGTATCGCGAACTGAAGAGGACACTTCAACAGACTACTATCGACTAGAGGACACTTCAGAGTTTCGTTTGAAGTGTCGCTTCTGAGTATCGTAGATAGGGGTTGGGGAACGAGCCCCGCTGCCTCAAGAGAAGCAGGGATCGCAGATGAGGGGTGATCCCCCCTCAGTGTTAGGTGGCAAATGCTGGGAGGTCAAATTCTGTCCCGCGCCTGGCCTGATCCCACTATTAGTTGGTATTAGTCGCTATTAGCTGTTATTAGTCGTGTATTCCTTCCCCTGCCTCCTCGCCCCCTGCTGTATTCCTTCCCCTGCCTCCTCGCCCCCTGCGGGTTGGTCGAAAAGAAGCACGACATAATCATAAGCTTTTGGAGCTCCGCGCGAGTTTCTCGGGTCGGCGCTGGACACCCCCGGCAGCGGCGCCTTCTGCGCCGGCCCTGGCGCGCTCCGCGTTTCCAGGGGGGGGGGTCCAGCGCCGATCCGAGACATCCGCGTGGACCTCGCAAAGTTGATGTTTGTGCAATCTTTGATCGGTTCAGAGGGGGGTGGTCCTCCCTCTTCGAGGCGGGAATTTATATCCATGACCACCGCCTAGGGACTAGAGCATCGATCTTCGGAGGCCCCTGCAGGCGGTGGGTACGGAGATGGTCGGGCCCTGGAGAGTGCAACACAGATCCAGATCCACCGCCTGCCGAGGTCCCCGAAGATCGATCTCCCAGGCGGTGCTTATGGAGAACGATCCCAGCTTACGGTAGGTTTGCGTCGTGTCGACCAGCGGCGACCCCGCCAGCGGCGTTCAAGGTTGAACGCCGCGGGCGACCCAGAATCGATCGATGTGGAACGATCGGACGTTGCGGCAGCGGCCGATCGTTCAAGGTTGAACGATCCCTGCGGTGTCAAAAACCAACGCCGGGGTCGGCACGACACGAACCTGCCGTACCTAACCCCCCAAGCGGCGCCTAAGGCGCCGCCCCTGGCGCGCTCCGCGCGCCAGAGAGGGGAGTCCGGCGCCGATCCGAGAAATCCCCGCCGACCTCCACAAGTGTTTGCAATGCCTCTCCCAAGCGGGGGAACGATACCAGCTTGATTATCACATGCCCTCCTTCCGGTGGCCATGCAGAGCGATTTTCGCGCGGTGCCATGCATTCGGCGTGTTTTGCCTGTCGTCCTGCCTGCCAGGCGTTGATAAGCACCTCGGCAGGACAGCATGCGCCCTCGATGCAGAGACTTCGTCGAGCATCCCGGCGACTTGGCAGCAGGCTGCTCGACGCGTGAGTTTCAAGGCATGCAGACTCGCGCGCCGCCCTCCGAGGGCCAGTTACCCGGGCCCTGCCAAATTTGTTGTACGTCATCGATCATATTCGGGCGATCGGCAGACTGGGCCGCCAGACACGGTGGAAAATGAGGTCAAGCTCACTCGGCGCTTGGGTTCGAGAACGCCTGCAGGGGTGCGCTCCGAGCGCACATGGCGCGGATGGCCCGAGAATGTATCGTATTGGTTGCGTTGACGTCGGAAGCCCAAGGCTCACGGAACACAGGTCGCACACCAGAATCGTTTAGAGAATCGCCCATCGGCCCAGGGCCGACAGATGTGGATCGCAGGGAGGGAGAGGCAGAGAGAGAGAGAGGAACGAGTAGCCCCTGCCCAACTTTTCTGCGCCCCCCCAGACCAGGAGAAGCGAGCCGCCTCCTGCGGCCCCGCGGCCAGGATGCTGGAGGAGGAGTACCGCTCCGAGCTGGATCTCGGAGGGCACCAACTATACACCAACACCGATCCTGGCCAGGATCACCCTGGGCCCAGGATCGGTGTATATGCCTTCTTGCCCAAGGCAGGAGGGCGTATACACCGATCCTGGGCCCAGGGTGATCCTGGCCAGGATCGGTGTTGGTGTATAGTTGGTGCCTTCCTAGGATCGCCTCGCGGTGGAGCTGAAGCGGCTGAGCCCGAACCTGAAGGCCACCGAGCAGATGCGGGGCGTCGCGGAGCTCGGGGGGCAACGGCAGCGGGGGGGATAGTCTCACGGGAGGCCGCTCGAGACGAAGGCGGCCCTCGCTCGCGTGTCTCGTTCTCCTTGGGCCTCGTGGAGGCTTCTCGTCGCCACGGCTGGGCCCGCGCCAAAACACATGTCGGGATGAACCCCAGGAGGGTCCCGGGAACCGACTTTGAGCGGATTGGGGCCGGGGGGGCGCCTCGATGCACAATCGCCCATTCCTCGCAGACGAGGGGCCCGATGGCCCGACCCCGCCCGGGAGCGCGCGGGTTCGCCATCGGGGGCCTGTCGCCAACTCAACGGTGATGTGTCGCCAATGCCAGGTCGATGCTTCTCTCCGCCTGAGCCGGTTCCATCCCGAACGCTGCCGATCAGGAACACGTTCAGGCCGCGTCCCACGAGGCGGACGCCGCGCGGAAGGAGATCGAGGACGTGGACGCGAAGTTCGAGGAGGTGCGCAAGCAGCGCAAGGAGCGCTTCATGGAGTGCTTCCAGAAGGCTCGGTTATCCTCGGGACGTGTGTTATAGCTCAATGTGTGTTTACGGCATGTTCGTGTCGTGTCGACGCGGCGGCGACTCCAGCCTGGGCGTTCAAGGTTGAACGCCGCCAGTGGCCTGGAACTGGTGGGCATCGAGCGAGCTGCGCTATCGGACAGCCCCGTTCCCTCAAGGTTAAACGATTCTCGCGGTGTCAAACACTAACGCGTTCAGCTCCACCGCCAGCACGCAGCATGTGTCGGCTCTCGTTACGTTGCCTGCAGTGTGCTGAATCGCCTGGGTGGACAAGCGCACGCTGGAGCTAACACACGTCCCTAGACCCCCGACGTCATGCTTTTTCAAAACGTCGATCCCCACAGGTCTCGACCCATTCCCCAAGACCAGCGTTTCATCCTGAATATTTGTATGACGGTTCCAGGGCCGAGGGCCCCCCAGAGGCCGAACATTACCTAGTGACGTACCCAATCCATTTGCTTCTAGTGACAAGAGGGATGGGCCCAACCTTGCCAGGACAATGACTGCGCAATCGCCGTTATTTGTTGTGCAAGCTACGTGGGGTGTGCTCACGTGGCACCGTTCACAGGACAACAACAGAAGGACGAGGAGCGAGGGCCCAGGCTTGAGGACTTGGGGGCGGGAACGAAGGGTACGAAAAGGACGCGTGGGGGACCGAACCGTCAGCGCGGCAGCAGCAGAAGGAAGGTGGCAGGGGGCAGAGGACGACGACGACGAAAGTGACTGGAGGAAACCGAAGCGTGTTGCTTTTGCCGGTCTTGCGCTACATGTGCAGCGTTGCTTGCGCCAGGTCGCCGCGGCGTTCGACAAAATGATTAAACTTGCTTTTAGTTAGTGCAAGAAGCGAGCCAAGCCCAGCTCGCCCGCCAGCTTCGCAGCCCCCCAGGGATGCGAGGTTTCCTGGAGGTCAGCGCAGGACGTCACTCCGCCAGACGTTAGACCCCCCAGCAGCCCTCGAAAATGACGACAGTTCCACAGATCGCAGCCCCACAGGGATGGCGAAATTTCATATGAATCTGGGTACGACGTCACTCCGCTGAAAGTGGCAACAGTTTCGTAGATCGCAGCCCCACAAGGGCAGCGAGGACTCATCTAAATCTGGGTGAGACGCCGCTCCGCTCGACCCCCCCCCCCAGCAGCTCTCGAAAGCGGCGACAGTTTCACAGATCGCAGCACCGCCGGGATGGCGAGGTCCCATTTGGATCCGGGTAAGACGTCGTTCTGCTGGACCCCCAGCAGCCCTCGAACGTGACAACAGTTTCGCAGATCGCATCCCCCAGGGGTGGCGAGGTCTCATTTTGATTCGGGGTAAGACGTCACTCCGCTGGACCCACCAGCAGGCTTCGACAGTGGCGACAGTTTCGCATATCGCATCCCCACAGGGATGGCGAGGCCCAATATGAATGTGGGCAAGACGTCATTCCGCTGGACCCCCAACAGGTTTCGAAAATGGCAACAGTTTCGCAGATCGCAGCCCCCCCAGGGATGGCGAGGTGCCATCTGAATCTGGTTAGGACGTCACTCCGTTGGACCCCCCCAGCAGCCCTCGAAAGAGGCGCCAGTTGCGCAGATCGCTGCCCCACAGTGATGACGAGGTCTCATCTGGATCCGAGTAGGACGTTGCTCCGCTGGGCCCTTTCAAAAACCCTCGAAAGCGGCGACCGTTTCGCAGGTCGCATCCGCGCAGGGATGGCGAGATTTCATTTAGAGTTGGTTAGGACGTCACTCCGCAGGGCCCCCCAGCAGCTCTCGAAAATGGAGACAGTTTCGCAGATCGCAGCCCCCCAGGGATGGCGAGGTCATATCTGAATCTGGGTAGGACGTCGCTCCGCTGGACCCCCCAGAAACCTGCGAAAGTGGCGACAGTTTCGCAGATCGCAACCTCACAAGGATAGCGAGGATTCATCTGAATCTTGGTGAGACGTCATTCCGATGGACCCCCCGGCAGCTCTCGAAAGTGACAACCGTTTTGCAAATTACAGCCCCCCAGGGATGGCGAGGTCTTATCTGGATATGGGTAAGACGTCACTCCGCTGGACCCCCAAGCAGCCCGCGAAAGTGGCAACAGTTTCGCAGATCGCAGCCCCCCCAGGGACGGCGAGGTGCCATCTGAATCTGGTTAGGACGTCACTCCGTTGGACCCCCAGCAGCCCCCGAAACTGGCGACATATTCGCAGATCGCAGCCCCGCAAGGATGGCGAGGTCTCCTGGTGATCAGCGTAAGACGTCGTTCAACTTGACCCCCCAGCTGCCTTCGAAAGTGGCGACAGTTTTGCAGATTGCAGCCCCCCCAGGGATGGCCAGGTAGGAGGCAAGCTGGCACGCAGAGTTGTTCCCTCCCTTTCGTGAAAACGCAAGAGCCAGACCCTCGGTTGACGCAGGCAGTTCAGCTGCCTGCGCTCATCGCACTGAGCCCGCTTGACATCTTCTGGCGATCTGGGTGTTGCACACAGTGATGTTTCACACGATCAAAAACGGAGGCGTCGTTCGTGACAGCGTCGGCCTGCCCCGTGTGGCTGGTTGTGGCAGGTCCTCGTGAGGATAGACGGCCACTCGCCGAAACGCTCGAGACAGGACCAGGGGTGCCCGAGAAAGTGGGCATATTCACTCTTAGACCAAAAGGTGCACGACACGGGCTTCAACGCGGATGCACATTATGTCTTGTATGTTGCACGGATGTGGATACGCAGTGCAAGCTCTTGGTTATCAGCTGAAAATTTCGCCAGAACTCGACGTCGGCGCGGGCGGTCAGCGTCCACGCGACGTGGTCGTTTTGAGACCAACTTCCTCCGGTGTTCGGCCCTGCAGTCTGAAAATTAGCAATGATCGCCTCAAACAGGGTGCTTCGCAGGTGCATTCTGACTTTGTTGCCGTGTCCGTGTACAACTCTGGTAGCTTGGCTTCGACGGCCCTGGAGGCCAGGATGGGCCTCTCGAGGAAAGACGACGATTTGTTCCGCGACGACTTCTCCCGGAAGAATTTTCTTCCGGAGGGAGTCGCCCGGACAAAAGTGGTCCAGAAGAAGTCGCCGTGGAAGAAGTCGCCTTCGGAAGAAGTAGTCGGGAAGAAGTCGTTCGGAAGGTGTCGTCTGGAAGAAGTCGTCGAGACACAGGTTTTTCTCGAGAGGTCGGTGCGGCGAAGACGGGGAGAAGGAGGAGGGATAGGAGGGCGATGACAAATAATGTGTTCGGAAGAAGGCGTTTGGAAGAGGTGGTTCGGAAGAAATGGTTCTGAAGAACTCGTCCGGAAGAACTCGTCTCGGGAAAAGTCGCCTGGAAGAAATCGTCCGAAAGAAGTCGTCCGAATGAATCCGTCCGGAAGAAGTCGTCCGGAAGAAGTCACCCAGAAGAAGTCGTCCGGAAGAAATCGTCCGGAAAAAAAATTGGAAGAAGTCGTCCAGAAGAATTCGCCCGGAAGGAGTCGACTGGAAGAGGTCGACCGGGAAAAGTTCGCATGGCGTCATTGCGCTCATGTCGGCGCACCTCTCTCACGTCTCGTGCGTGGCCCTATTTGGAGCTCTACCGAAGGCCTTTGTGGCAGGGTTCGCATGGCGCTACCACACTTGTTCGGGCACACCCCTCGCATGTTCGTGCCCTCGTAGGGAGTTCCGCCGAAGGCCCCAGTGGCAGGGTTCGCATGGCGCCCCCGCGCTCGTTTCGGCACACCCTTCACACGGGGAGCGCCGCCGAAGGCCACAGTGTCAGGGTTCGCATGTGCCTGACCGCACCCACTATGTTGACAGCGCGTAACTACGTTGCAAATCCGCCAGAGTTGTTATAACTGGCAGGTTGGTGGGCCGAGTTTTTTTTTTGAGTTGCAAGTGATTTGCGGAGTTACGAACGCGAAGCAACTTGAAGATTGCATCAAGGCAACGCGTCCAACATGAATGCAGCTCCTGGGCAAAAAAACAATCTGGCAATATGATGATACGTTTTACTGAGTGCGATACAAGTCACTTGCCTTGCGCGCGCGAAACATGCGTTGTAGCCGCGCGAAACAGCGCTTTTGATGCGCTCGCTCGTCGCAGCGCGCTGGACGCGAGAGTTGCGACGCATATTGCTCGCGCCCTCATTTACGTACTACTCGGAGGCTTGTCTTGAAAATGCGCGTCAGTCGCGATGCAATAACAGCGCTCACCACAGGTCCGACCCTTTTGTTCGCCATGTCTGGCTTTCGCAATTTCTCCCCGAAGCTGCGCTGGATTTCTGGGGAGGTGCCCGCGCGTTTCCAGCGCGCGTAAGTCAATTTCCTTGCTGTTGTTGGCGACGCCCGCCCATCGTGCCCCGCCCCTCGCCTCGCCCTTGGGGCGCCGCGCATCGGGCGCCGAAAGGTGGCCTCCGCAAACGGGGCCACGTGTCCGCGTATTCATGTCGCCCATGCATCCACCCCCCGTGGTCCCGCCAGCCCGGTCCCGCCTACGCGGCCCCGCCCGCGCGTTGCCCCGCTTCGGAGCCGTTCCCCCAGGAAGCGCAGTATCTGATAACACATCAGAGTGATAGGGCCGAACGGTCCTACGCCGTCCCTGGGTACTGGGTTGAAGCGGGTATCCGCAGAACTGGCTTTTGTTGAATTTGCTACTGCTGTCGCTATTGCTCCTTTTGCTGTTTCTTGTCGTCGCTCCACCCCGCGGCCCGCCCCGCGGCCCGCCCGCGAACCGCCCCGCGACCCACCCGCGACCCGCCCGCGATCCACCCTGCGACCTGCCCACAACCCATCCGCGATCCACCCCTGCCTGTCGCGCGGGGCCCCTCGTGGGGTTTTCGTCCTTCGCAAAAGATGACCGCCATCTCATGCGGCGGCTGAAAACGGGCACGGGTAGCACAACATGCGACGAACATGCGAAAACCATTGTTTTCCACTAGAAATACCGTTTTTCTGGTCGCCTGAATTGGGAACAGTAGTCAAACATAATCGTTTTGCATTCAACCGCTTCGCGGTTTCAGCTAGTATCGAACCAAGCACATTAGCGGCGCGTGCGATTTCGGTGCCATTTTCGGGCCACGCCAAAAAGTCCAAGGGCCGTCAGACAGAAATTTGAAACATCGAATCCCACCAGCCTTTTGGGCGACAAATGGTCTAACGATGTCTTTCTTCCCTTTTCCACAACCCCTTCTTCCCTTCCGGGGAGGGGTTTACCATTGTTCCCTATTAACAAACACCCCTTCCCCCAGGCGACTGGTAGCCAACCCACAATCATGCGGGCACCCCCCACCATCCCTTGTAACAAAAACCAAACAAACACACACTCTGCCTCCAAATTCGGAGCATGCGCAGCCACACCGACGCGGCCTCCCCCCACCATCCCTGTCAAAAACAATTCAGAATACACTTGGCGGCGGCGGCGGCGGCGGCTGCGGCGGCTGCGGCGGCTGCTGCTGCGGCGGCGGCGGTGGCGGCGGCGGCGGCGGGGGCGGCGGCCGAAGCGGCGGCGGCGGCGGCTGCGGCGGGCGGCGGCGGCGGCGGTGGCGGCTGCGGCGGCGAGTTGGCAGCGGCGGCGGCGGCGGGCAGCGGCGGCGGCGGCGGTGGCGGCGGCGGCCGCGGCGGCGGCGGCGGCGGCGGAGGCGGCGGCGGAGGCGGCGGATTGGCCCTCAGTAGCTGCCCATCCAACGACGACTGCTGAATATGCTGAGGCTCGGGCCAGACTCGTGTGCTACGTATGGGAGGGCGGGTGGGAGTGAGCGACACGGCTTGCGGGCGGGGAGGGAGTCTTGATCATTGTTCCCTAGTAGTATACACCCCCTCCCCCAGGCGATTGGGAACCAACCCGAGTCAATGATGGCCCCCCCCACCATCCTTTGAAGAAAACAATACGAAACACACTCTGCCTCCAAATTCGGAGCATGCGCAGCAAACCCGATGCGGCCTCCCCCCACCATCCCTGTCAACAAACAGTACGGAATACACTTGGCGGCGGCGGCGGACAACGCGATTCGGGGACGGTAACGTTTTTCGGTGTCCCCCCTTTCGCGCGTTGAGCAACAATTAACAGTAAGGAAGCAGAAGGCAGGATTGTAACAGTGGAAGCTGGAAACTGCAACTGGCACAGGGAGCTGCGATCCTAACCCTCGCAGATTGATGGCCCTGAAAGGGGGCTGGCGCACTTGTTCTTCGCTCCCCATGCCGTTGCCACGTGGCGAGTTGAGTGGGATAGTATTTTTGTGTACCTCTCAGGCCTTGCCACGTGGCGTTGCTACGCGGCGAGCGAGTACAGAGGAGTAGCATATGTTGCCGCCCCGCTTCGATGCCACGTGCCAAGTAGAGCGGGGTTTCACTCCGCAGGCGCTGCCTCGTGGCAGGGAATGTGGAACAGTATTTGTTTCGCACCCCCGGTGTTGCCACGTGATGAGTAGAGCGAACAAATATGTGTTCCGTCTCGCAGGCGTTGCCACGTGGCGAGTCGTGGAGTGGAGCAGTTTGTGTTTCGTTCCCCCGTCGCCTCCACCTGGCAACTCGCGCGGCATAGTATTTGTGTCAGTCGAGCCAGCGTCGCCACGTCGCGAGGAGAGAAGGGTAACACATGTGTTCGCCCCCCCAGGCGCTTGCCACGTGGCGAGTCCAATGGAATAGTTTTTCAGCTTCTGGCCCGCAGGCTTTGCCGCGTGCCGAGTAAAGGGACAAGGGAGGAGGGAAGAGGAGAGAGGAACGAAGAGGGAAGGGGGGAAGACTGGGGAGGACGCAGGGGGGAAAGGGGCGGAGGGAACAGGAGGATGAGGTGAAGACGCAGGAGGGAGGAGGGAGGAGGCAGGAAGGAGAGAGGAGAGGAGGCAACAGGCAGGAGGAGTGAGGGGTGAGGAGGGATGAGAGGATAACGGGAGGCCTGGGAGGAAGAGCGGGGAGGTGGAGGACGAGGAGCGAGAAGCAGGCCAGAAAAAGTCGCATCGGCAGAACTCATCCTCGGGAAAAGAGTCGTCCAGGAAGAGTCGCCTGGAAAAAGGGGCCCGGAAGAAGGCGCCCTAGAAGAGGTCACCGTCGGAAGAGGTCGCCCAGAAGAGCCCTTCCGGAAGAATTCGCCCAGGGGAGGTCGCCCATGACGGCCGCGAGAGTGGCCGGAGGGCAGCCGGCTCGATGGGAAGGCGCATGGACGGAAGTGCTTGACAGCGCCCCGGACCGACACCGGGCGTCCGAGGCGGAGATAGCCAGGGCGCGCAGCGTCTGCTGATGGAGTCGAGGGTCGCGCAGTGTTTTGTTATAGCGTCATTCGCGTGGATGAGGCACTGGATTATTTTCCCCGTCGCAGTCTTGCAAGTAGGGCTTATTATAGCCACCGTTCTAATTCTCATTCGACTACAGAATCAAATTACACGAAAATCAACAAAAATCTATGTTTTTTTTCATACAGGCGTCGATGTTCTATTTGCAGCAGAAGAGTTAAAACAATATAACATTGCCCTCGCGTTCAAGCGGCGCAAGGAAGCAGTGCCCACAGAGGGAGAGGGAGAATCAATCATCATCGGTAGAAGTATTCCGTCTGAGGTTTTCATGGAGACATCGCCCGGCAGAAAGCGCCTCGGGAGAAGACACCGTCGGAAGACTTCGCACGGAAAATCTCCTTAGATGAATTCGTCCGGAAGAAATCGTCTCGGATGAAGTCGCCCGGAAGAAATCGTCCGGAAGAATTCGTCGCGGAGCAAAATCGTTCGGAAGAAGTCGTCCGGAAGAAGTCGTTCGGAAGGAGTCGTCCGGCAGAAGTCGCCCAGAAGAAATCGTCGCGGAAGAAGCCGTGCTAGGAAGAAACCGTTCTAGGGAGAGACCGTCGCGGAGCAGATCGAAGGAGAACGAGGAACAAAAACAAGGAGTAGGAGGAGGACATGGAGGATGCACGACGAAGCGGGGGAGAAATGTTCGAAGTCGCTCGGAGGAAGCCGTTCTGAAGAAGTCGAAAGAAGTCGTCCGGAAGACGTCGCCCGGAAGAAGTGGTTCGGAAGAAATCGCCGGGAAGAAGTCGTCGCGGAAGAAGTCGTTCGGAAGAAGTCGTCCGGAAGAAGTCGTTCAGAAGAAGTGATTCGGAAGAAGCCGTCCGGAAGAAGTCGTCCGGAAGAAGTCGTTCGGAAAAAGTCGTTCGGAAGAAGTCGGCGCGGAAGAAACAGTAGGCTTTCTCGAGCGAGGTGTCCCACGAGCGCAAAACAGCAGGGGCCAGGTGGCTCACACCCCTGGGCCGTGGTTGGCATCCGTTCACTGAAAAGGTTGGCACCCCGCGGATGGTCACCAATTCATCAGCTGGGAGGCCGCGGAGGCCGCGATGTCATGAAAACGGTGGCAGTTGTTTCCACCCTTCTTTGAAGGCCAGAACGCCAGGCTCTCGGTTGACGCAGGCAGTTCAGCTGCCTGCGCTTACCGCAATGAGCCCGCGTGACGTCTTCTGGCGATCTGGGTGTTGCACACAGTGATGTTTCACACAGTCGGAAAAGGAGGCGTCGTTCGTGACAGCGTCGGCCTGCCCCGTGTGGTTGGTTGTGGCAGGTCCTCGTGGGGATGGCCGGCCACACGCCGAAGCGCTGGAGACGCACAGGACCAGGGGTGCCCGAGAGTGGGCACACTCTCAGTCCTAGACAAAAGGGTGCGCGACAAGGGCTTCAACACGAGTGCACATTATGTATGGTATGCTGCATTGATGTGGGTACGTTTCGCAAACTAGTCGCAGGAACGAGCGGGGCGACAGGAAAGAAGAGGAGAGGAGGAGGGAGGCGGGAGAAGGAGGAACACCGGAAACCACAGCGCTCTGTTCAAAACGAGTGCCCAACGCAGGAAGGTTGGGACAAACAAATTCTACTAAATGTAGGAGTGACCTTTCGCCGGAGTGACCTTTGGTGCGGGCCCAATGGGGTCCACCGATCGCTGAACTCGAGGCGGCAGTGGCGTCTTGCGCGCTTGTATTTGGCTACCCCGCGCCCCCCCAGAAGCCGCGCACCAAAGGACACTCTTACCCAGGGTAACCCCTTGCGTGTAGCCGAAAAACACGCGACGTGTTTTGTACGACGTTTTTTTTTTTTTTTTTTTGTTTTCTTTTCCATCCCCGTCTTTAGCAAGGTCCCGATCATCTCCTTGGGGATCGTTTCTCGTCTCGGATCTGTTTTGGACAGTCCCGGGGCCCGATGCTGGGGCCCAGAGACCGAAATCTAGGAACCACGCTCATATTGGACACACCATCTCGTCGGAGATGTGGGCTCTGAGGGCCCGGGAGAGGTCTCCGGCGAGATCAGCGAGGTGTACCGGCGGCTCACCGCGAACACGGCGGGCCTGCGCGCGGACGGCGGTTCCGCGTATTTGGACTTGGAGGACATGGAGGACCCCTTCAACGGCGGCGTCAAGTTCACGGCCGCGGGGGGGGGGAACCCAACACTTCGGCCTCAAACCACCAGTGCATTGGAAACATCATGTCAGCGTTTTTTGTAGTTTTTGACGTTTGATGGGCCTTTCGCTGGGCCCCGGGGCCGTCAAACATCAATTCGAGATGAGACATTGGCTTTTGGGAAAGGGTCAGGACTTTGGGACGCCGTGCTAACGAACATCAGGACATCGGATGTCCGCGAACACTTCGCAGGTTGATAGATGCCCACCCAGCCAAGTGGATCAGCGAGCTTAGCGTAATGGAGGGGCGGTAAAGGAGGGAGGCAGCGAGGGCTGCAGAGATGTAGCCCTTTAGGGCCCAAAAGGGGGCCTCTGGGGCTCGAGAAGTGCACCTTTCTCCCACCCCCCCACCCCACGTGTCGCCCCCCCTCATTAAGCGACGCCCGAACTGCCCTTTTTCGGTTTTCGGGGGCGCTTTGCGGCCGCAGTTTTTGGGGGCCTGCGCCCGCTGTGTCCACGAGGGGGTATTTTGCTCACGGGTGTTCTGCCCACCCCCGCGCACTTTGGCGGCACGCGCGAGGGGGGCTGGCGCGAGGGGGTCGGCCTTCTGAGAAGGCGGGGGAGCTTCCAAGAAGACGGGGGAGCTTCTTAGAGGCCCTCCCAGCTGATAAGAAATTCTAGACGCTTCGTGTATCCCCACCAGTCGACGCTCTACCAGGCCCAGCCCGACCAAGAACATACCCCCCCCTGGCTGACCCCCTGGCTGAAGTGCTCGCGCACAAGATGCGGATAAGAGCCCGCACAGACGGCACACTGGTCAGAGCAGACAGCGACGCAGTCGCGTGCGCACAAGGCATGCTCGGTAAATTCCAGGCGTGTATCGATGAGCAGAGCACGCACGACCTGGCAAGAAGTATTCAAACCAGGCTGGTACTCGAACAGCGGCGACACGACGAAGGCAGACCCATCAGAAGATACAATTGGGACCTATACGCTGACATCTGGATACTTCAACTAACGGACCCTGCTACACTGGAAAGAGATCACCTAAACCAACCCATCAGGGAATTAGGCATAAAGGAAGAGGTCACCAGACAACTCCCGTTCGCTCAGTGGCTATCACCTGAGCCAGACCTCACATATACTGCCCACCACCCCTGGCTTGAGGTCCCTGGGAGCCGGGGAGCAGACGTTTACAGCGACACTGCACACAGGTTGGTGCCAGGCACGTTAGAAGGCATCCAGGCCTTAGACGAGAGACTCAGAAGGGCAGCCAGCGAAGACAGGTTGCGGCACGACCCAGGGAGGGTCCCCAGGCCCCGAAGGACTCATAGGGACAGCAGCGCGAACCTCGCGGGTGAGACGGGGGTGCAGAGTGCGCGGGCCAGGCAGGGCCACGCACAGGGAGTACACCGCAGAGAACGGAGCGAGCCACAAGCGTCGCATCGAAGCGCGCCACGGGAACCACAAAACCCACCCGGCGACCCCCCGGGCCGACAGTTAAGCCCAGGGGCGGCCGCACAAGCAGGGGCACCGCAAGCAGAGCGCCACAGCAGTCAGGACTCCCAAACGGCACCAGGCTTTCCGAGACGACGACAAGGTGACAACAGAGAAGGCAATGCTACATCCTCTGCGTCCCCAGGAGGTTCCTCCGTTAACGCCTCCCTAAGTGGGGGCGCTACAGACGAGCCTATGCAGGAGGCGGATGAGCGACGCCGCGAGACCGAGCAGACGAGAGGGCAGAGCCAACGAACGCAGGCTCCCCCGCGCTCAGACCCGCCCTCAGAAGCAATACCCCCACAGGCACAGGCGACACTGGCGCTTGAAATATTTACGCAAAGCACGGCGCTGGAGTTCGCCCCGTCCCGAGGCCGTCTTGCTCAGCAAGGCCCCTGGGGATCCAAAAAGAGGGCCCGGCAAGATGGCGATGCAAGGGGCGTCTGTCAGACGCCAGCTGCCAAGCCCAGGCGCGGGCCGCTCGAGTCACTAAGGCCGCGCTCTCACGGAGGGAAGTCGACGTAATATCGAGATTGGCCCTCAAAACGGCACGCCCGACTGTCGGGGATTCAAAGGACCCTCCAATCCTGAGCAGAGTAGCCACCAACATAGCTCCTGGGCCCTGGAGGGACGCCCAAGGTGTCTGATGGGCAACTGCGTTAATAGCCTCCTGCTAGACACGATCGGTAATACCCCAAGGAAGAAGAGCCATCCATCTGGACACAGTCCACAGACGAACAACTTCAGCATGCGCATCTAAGGCTGGATCTGCGACTCCCGACAAGGCTAGGTCCATGGTGACGGGTCGGAGCTTACCAGTACCAAGACCCACATGATAGCCGTTTCGGATCTGCTTAATCTGTTAAGCACTCAAACCCAATACATCAACGCCAAAGGTGACAGTCGGACGAAGGTTCGTATTGACGACGACCTGGACCTGAGCCCCTGCCCGCGGTAGCCTGACAAGACGACGAGCCTCCTGCATTGCCTTCTGAATCCTAGACTTCAGCACAGGACGAGGACGACGACCTCGGCGGACCTGGAAGTCGATACCTAGGTTCCTGCAGGGGAAACGTACAGCACCCCCAAGCCGAGGAGTCTCAGCTGCTATTTTTCGGGCCAAGGATGCATCCGACGCAAGGAGCACCAACCTGGGCTCAGAAAGGGGCAGATGGGCAGAGCAGGTCAATGTACCCATGGGGAGGTGCGAGGCATGGGCCCGTGCGCATCACCTCAGCTCCAGTGCTCACTTCTAAAACCTGAACATCATCAGCTATCACTCCCAGATGCAATCCTGGATAAACCCGAAGTAAGGAGTCCAGCTCTGGCATAAGCATGTTGCGCATAAACAAATCGGCAAAGGAGCGACCAGCAACTATAGCAATTGCGGCATACATCCATTCTCCGACGACTCGGCGCACAGTCAGCATACGTGGAGATCGATTAAGCCCAACAGTACTCTCTGGAGGGCTGGGTTGAACGGAAAAACTGCCGACAACGCTGGATGAGCAACCAGCGCCGAACCTGCTCGAAGGCCTTCTTTATGTCCAGAAAGAGGTCCCAAACAGACAGTCCACGCAGGGCAGCAAACTCAGCCAGAACACTCACGCGCCGTGCACATTGTTCACACGAATGATTGCGCACGCCATATACATACCGACGTGTGTGACGTTTAGCCCAAGCAATACCATAGGTGTGCCGAAGGTGTCGGGTGAAGGTGCGCACAAAGGTAGCGAACAAGGCGACAGTGCGCTCGCCCGCATCAGGTTTTGGCAAGAGGTTTACTACAAGCCTGGCTAGGATAAGCGGAAGCGCCCAAGACGTAATATAGCAACCCAAAGCTTGCACGTCGAGACCAGGGACTCGTCAGAAATCCAAACGCGACGCCGAGGATGAACCAAGTCAAGTCTGACCGACGTGCGAGCCCGATATCTGCGACGCATCCTGCGGTAGCGTTCCAGGGGAGGCATAGGCAAATATGCAAGGTCATCGGGCAGCACGGGTGGCACGGGCAGACCCTCGCATGGATCGGAGCCCTGGCCGACAGGTGGCATGGGCTCCCACGTCCCATGCCAAACTTTTCTCGCGCCTTCAAATGGTGAGCAACAGTGCGACGAGGGGGGTCGTGAACAGCAGGATTCTGAATGACATCGCATGCTCTCCGATTCATGCTGCCCATGACGAATCGGCGCGCAGCCGAGCCCCCGCGCTCTCGAACGGACTGAATAGCCCAATAGCACCAATTGTGATACAGCTTGGCAGAGGCTGCCTTCTCCAGCGCTGCTGCCATTTCGGACAACGTCTTTGCTCAGCCAGGGAAGCGAGCCTAGATCCAGAAACTGAAGACGACGAGCATAGAGGCGCCACCACCACCAATCCGGGGGAGGGGGGCCCTCGCGCCTGGACGGGCAGTAGCGCCTTAGACGCGACGCCGCGGCTGAGAAGGTCCCCCAAGACTGCTTCTCAGCCAGATGCAGAAGGCCTCCAAGACGATTGGCAAGAAACCGCCAAAGCTTGCCCCCGAAGGAAGATGCAACACCTCCAGGAAACAGCGATGCAACCGAAACCAGCATGGCGGTGAGACGCTCACCCCGCGTCTTATGCGCGTCTGGGTCGGGGAGAGGTGGTAGAGGCCAACCAATTCTGCCGCCGACGCCATTTAACCACGAAGAAGTCTGTCGCTCAAGCTCAGGAACTGAATCGATCTCGTCAGCCGTCTGCGGCAACCAATCCCAGGAAGGCGGGCAATGAGCACGCCCGGCAGGACGCTGGACTGGGATAACATGAGGCCTCCGAAAGATGGGCACCATATCCTTACCCACAGAGCCCTTGATGCGCAGAGCCACTGGCTGGTGCTTGGGGAGCAGGGGCGAGCATAGAATTCGCAAGTAGCAGCATGAAATATGTGGTGGACCGCAAAATATTCAATCTTAGAGAAACCACCACCACTCTCATAAGCATTACCGCTCGGAGCAATCACAATGCCGCCAACGAGCTTTAGAAAACCTGTAGTTTTTAGCTGCTTTTGAGACATTCCAATCAGCGGAGATGGGGAAGGGAGGGCCGATGGTGCGCGAACGCCAGACGCCACCTGCATGAGCAACTGCGCGTCGCGATCAGCCGCCCCTTCCCCTGTGCGCAGATAGAGATTTAGCCGAGGTGCGCCCGTGTCCACCACCACCAATCCGTGCCAGGGTTTCATAATGCACCGCTCAGGGGGTGGCAGTGCCATGGCGGAATCCATGGGGATGTCCGAGAAGCTGTTGGAACACTGGGAAACCACAGCCACCCCAGAGTTTAGACCACTCTCGGACGTTCGTAGCGGAGGACGCACGCGTGCGCGTAACCCAAGACGGCGAGCACTATTGGCAGCAGCCCCAAGACCCTCAGAACGGCAAAGTCCCCGAAGACCCTTTGCATCAAATTCGAAAGTGCGGGCAGCCACATGACTCTCAGCGTTTGTCCAGCTCGTGGCATCGATCGAAAGCAGGGCCCAAGAGTGGCGAGCGCGTCCTACGTTTGGCTGCCCCTTCCCACGGGTGAAGACCTGGCGGGCCCGATGGGCCCTCTGCGCCGTAGGTAGTGCCATCGTCCAGATCATCAACACTGCCAGGAGGAACCTCATCGCGACCGTTGGGGGAAGAATCGGCCCACCGCTCGGTGGTGAGAGACGGTTTCTTGCGAGGTGCCTCGGCAGCTTCGCGCGAAGGAGAAACACCCACCCTGGGAACGGGACGAGCATCAACCTCCATGGGCACTGCTGCTGCAACTGCTGGTGTACCTGCTGCTGCCTGCCCTGGCGCCGCTGCCGAAGCGGGCCGAGAAGGCGAGCGAGCAGGACGAGCGGCTGGACGATCCTAAAGCAGGAATAATCTCAACCGCCGCGGACAACTCAACCATCTGTCCCAAAGCACGAGCAACCTCAGGGATTTGCCTGGAGGATTTGGGGAGGTTCTTGAGGAGTGTCTTACAAACATCTGACAAGTCGCTGGACTCCGGCTTAACGGCTGGCTCTGGAACTGAGGGCGAGTCAAGATGGTTCTGCCACACTTCGCATTCTGTCTGGAGTCGTTCACGCATGACCTCCCAAGAACCCTTCCTAGCAAGAATGTCGGACAACTCCTGCTCAATCTGATCCAAGGTAGCATCCGCCTTCCCCACCATCCTAATAGACCACCGGACCCGCTGGGACAAACGAGCGCGCTGCTGTGGAAGGGGCAGCACGGGCGTCTTCAACTCGCGGGCCGCAGTAAGCTCCGACAGAAGGTGATCAATCTCTTGCTGATTCCGAAGAGATGCGGGCAGACTCCGAAGGTTCTCAAGATAAGACTGCTAAATCATAGCAAGCGCTTCCTAATCAGCAGTCGTAACCATGGGGCATCACGATCATACTTGGCAAAGGGGCCGTCAAAGTCGTCTTCCTCACCGCCGAAATCCTCGCCCGATACATCAGAGCCAAACCGTGCCCGAACAGCTTCAGACAGAGGGGCATCAATGAAAGACTCATAGAACAAGGGAGGCTGATCGGGTGCACGAGATGGTGGACGACCAGCGGCGGCGGCAGCAGCAGGAGACACCCCTCCCGCGGCATCGGCCGCCCCCCGAGTCTTTCCCTTTTGCTTGCTCTTGCCTCCTCGTCCTCCTCGCCCAGCCTTTCCTTGTCCTTGGTCCTGGGGAGACCGACCAGGGAGATAGACCTTGCAGAACGTGCAGGTCCTGCGGGGGCTGGAGAGGTATATCCAAGGGACGGCACCAGCATCGCAGCAGGCAGGGCACACAAGATAGGGAGGCATTCGCACGCTGGGCCGCGCGTCGCCCCAACGTGGCCGCTTGGCCGTTTTTTTGAGCAGAGGTTGGGAAGTTAAGGAGCAGGTCCCTTGAGCCAAAATGGCTACGGACGCTACGGCACTTTTTGAAGCGACGGAAAACGGGGAGCTCGTTCGGTCTCGAGGGAGATGGCTCCAGAGCCGTACGATGTTGATCTACATGCAGGAAATCGCAGCCGCTAGTTTCGCTTCGCGCCTTGAGCCCAGGGTCGGTGCGGACCTCCATGATGTTTCCCTCATAGACTCTAGAGTGGTTAAGCTGGCCACGGCCTGGGCGACCCAGGAAATCCCCCCTGGTCTCTAGCCGAGTTTGTTTTAGGATTTTTTTTTTTTTTTTTTTTTTTTTTTTTTTTTTTTTTTTTAAAAAAAAAAAAAAAAAAAAAAAATCAAATAGAACCGTCAGCTGTCTCTATCCATGCGTAGCCATTCTGGCTTTCGGTGCACTTCCGTGCGGTGGCATCGTTACATAAATTGTATACACATATCTTCGCCTAGGCGTTCCAGATAGGAGTTTGGGAATTTGGGTACAGCCTGGATCTCGCCGCGGGGCCAGTGTCGCGCTTAAGATAGTATGTCTGGCTCCGCCGCTCGTCCTGATTGTGCTCGGGTGGCCGAGAACGATGCTTGAATTTCTGAGCTCGGCGCGAGTAAGAAACAGAGAGTCCCCGGGAATATGGTCGATTGCCACCTCTCGCGTCTGGTCTTGGCTCAAGCCTGCCCGCCCTTTCATGTCCCCACCCTGCTGTGAGCCCCAGGGTACAGCCTGGATCTCGCCGCGGGGCCAGTGTCGCGCTTAAGATCGTATGTCTGGCTCCGCCGCTCGTTCTGATTGTGCTCGGGTGGCCGAGAACGATGCTTGAATTTCTGAGCTCGGCGCGAGTAAGAAACAGAGAGTCCCTAATGAGGAACAGTGATAAACCCCTCCCCGAAGGGGAAGAAGGGGAAGGAGGGGGGTGGAAGAGGAACCCCCCTAAACAACCTACGTCCGGAGGGCTGGTGGGACTTTCTCTGGGAAGCATCCCGGCGCTTCTACGAAGAACCTTGCTTTCTGAGAGGCCCCCCCCGGCCTTCTCGGAAACCCGCCCTCCTGGCGCCACCCTGTCGGTCTGACCACGAGGGCATGCACGTGGATCTTTTGCCCACGCATGGCCAGTATCGGTGCGCTTGTGCGTGTGTGGGGGTCAGCTGGGGCTCGGACGAGGATACATGCGTTCCCGAACATTCCAGAACGCGTTCAGAGCGTGCCAGAACGCTCTGAGAATGCTGCGGCGCCCGATACATCCTCCAGAGCCGCCGGATCTCAGAGATTCTCGATTTTTCTTCCCGCGAATTTATCCGTCCTGGCTTTGTCTGATGGGGGGGGGGGCGGGCCCGTTTAGCCGCCGCTGATCCTCGCTGCCCCCCGCGCCCGTTCGGCGCCTCGTTGCACCCCGCCCCCGAGGCTGCCGCTGCTCTCCCCCCGCCCACCGCCAGTGACCACCCGCCGGTGGCCGCTGCTCGCCTTGCTTCGCCACTGCCCCGTGAGGGCCCTGCCTCATCCAGCTTCCGAATGTTCGTACATCTATGGAGAATGCTAAGTATCTTTGCGTATATTCGACGGGAATATTAATTTTGGACATATCAATTCTGCAATCGATCTCCAACTCGAGGCTTGGAGTCGATCCAGCCCGCGAACGCCCCCCCCAAATGTGCATGTGTGGATGCAGGACTCGGCCCAAACGCTGTTTTGTGTGGCTATGTCGTGGACCGTTTGCGTTCCGATTTGTCGTTTCGCAGCAGAGGCGGAGCGAAGACAGAGAGAGGGAAAACGAAACCAAAACGAAAACGGCAAACACCGCTTAGGTTGAGCCCTGTTTGGATGAGTCGGCGTCATCCCAGGCCATGCCGCCGGCGAAGCGATTCCGGGACATGCATCTTCTGTCGGGTGGCGAGAAGACTTTGGCGGCCATGGCGCTCTTGTTCGCGGTGCACGCTTACTCGAAGCCTCCCTTCATGGTCCTCGACGAGGTAGACGCAGCTCTTGACGCCAACAACGTTAAGGCCCTGGCAACCTACGTGGAGCAGTCGGATTGCCAGACGATCGTCATCTCCCTGAAGGATCGCTTCTTTGTCAAGGGGGAGGCGCTGGTGGGCGTCTGGAAGAACAAGCCGAAGGAGACTTCGGCTGTCCTGAGCCTGGACCTCTCGCGTTATCTCCCCCCTCAGGCCTGCTGAGGGCGCTCTGCGGCGCTGCCGGGTCAGGAGCCGCACCTGCTTGCGAGCACGTCTTTCACTTCCCACTTTCCCACGGGAGGCCAGAGTTCGAGGGCCCATCTCTCGTCCACCTCGGGGCTGTGGGCAGGAAGACGTGAGCAGAGCAAAAAACGAGTGGCACTCGAAATGAACGGCGTGTGGGGGCGCCGCCTGCGGAGAGCGGCATCCGGCGGCCATCCGCGCGGCCGCCGCCAGCCCCCACGGCATGCAGGCGCATTTCCTTCGCAGCCCGTCTCTTACCTTTTCGCCCTCTCCCTGCCCCTCCTTATCCTTCCCTCTCTCCCTTACACCCTGCGAAATGCTTAAGAAATCATGGGTTCAGAAATTCATAGTCTCAGAAATTGACTAAAACCCAGAACTTCTATCAACATCTTGGGATTTACATTCAAAAGTTAAGAATAATCGAGACTCTGGCCGAAACTTTAGGTTTTCTTAAGCATCGCCTAAGGTGTACCCCTGCCCTCTCCCTCCTTTGCCCCCTCCGCCCTACCTCTTCGCCCTCGCCCTGCCTCTGCCTCTACCTTCTCGCCCTCTGCCTCTCCTCTCGCATCTCTTGCCTTTTCGCCCTCCTCCTCCTCCTCCTCCTCCTCCTCCTCCTCCTCCAGGCCATCTCCTTGCCTCCCTGCCTGCCTGTCTCTCCCCGGAGGTCTCGGGAGGTCCAGGAAGTCTCTCTCCAGAGGGGCCTCCAGAGGTCCCCGGAAGCCTGCGCAGGGCCCCGGAGGCCCGAAAGGGCCAGGAGCGTCCAAAGGCATGAATGCTGCTCCTCCTTCTCGGACCGCTCCCTGCCTCCTCCGCCGCCTCGCCCTGATCCTCCGGTCCGGCTTCCCACTTCGCCACGGGGACAGGCGAGGCGAGCGGCAGAGGTGCCGTTCTGCTCCCTTGGCTCTGGCTGCAGCGGTGAGCGCAGCTGCAGCCTGGGCCGCCGAGTCTCGGAGCCATCCATGGGGGATCTCGGATGCGGCAGACTTGGCAGCTCGAAATCGCGGGGCGCTGCGCCGCACACAGCAGCAAGTCGCCGTGCGCCTCTTCTTTGCCTTCGCCTCCCCGTCGCACGTTCCCGAGCAGCGACAGGCGGCGACGAGGACGATGCCGAGAGTCAGAGGAGTAAGACAATGCCGATGCCGCTGCTCGTCCTGGAGAGCCCTCGTCGCCTCGCCTGGATTCTCATCGAGAGTCTGGTCAGGATGCACCCAGGGAGAGGCCCCAGGAGTAGCGGTATCGGTGCCTTCTTTCGGGGGGGCGTAAGACCCGGGTTTGCCAGGACTCGGGTTCGCCATCGTTTTTTGACGACCGCGCCTCGGATTTTGACGAGGAGGGGTTTCGTGGGATGTCTGCAGCGGGAGGCCTCGTCAAAATGCAGGCTCGGCCTCGTCATTTTTTTGACGACCTCGTCGGGGATTTCCGAGTCCCCCGTACCCGGGTCTTACGTCTCCCCGATTCTTGTCCCCCCAGAGAGATAGAGGGTTAGGTCGGCGACGAGAATGGAGACGACGACGCATGCAAAGCAGGCTGGCGATGGCGGTTGCGGCGGAGGTAGCGGCTAGCGATGGCAATGGACACGACGACGAGAGCGGTGACGACGATGACGACGACTGCGGCACCGGCAACGACAGCGACGCCGACGACGACAACGGCGATGACGACGACAAGCCGAAGACCAAGGACGACCGCCAATGGCCGGCGACAAGCGATTACAGTGGCGCCGACGACGAGAGCAGGGGCGGCGTCCATGCCCACGGGGTGGCGGGCGCCGCAGCTCCAAGAGTGCAAGAGGGGCCGGTCTGTTTGCGATCGTTTCCCTTGCCTCGGCGCTGCCATCTTTGACGCCCCAGCTCGAAAACAAAAATCCATAAGCACAAACTTTGAGCGCTCCGCGCCGATTTCTTGGATCGTCGTTGGGCCCCCCCTGGCGGCGCCTCCGACGCCGCCCCTGGCGCGCGCCGCGCGCCAGGGGAGGGGGGTCCAGCACATATTCAAGAAATCCGCGCGGACCGTTGTGTCCACCACCCACGCCGCCGCCATCTTCAATGTCGACATGGCCTCATGCAAGACCACGGTGGATCCAGCCGCGGTCACGCTGGTCGTCGCCGCTGGTTCGGAATTGCGCTCTCGACGATGGGCATCTCGCCTTCCTTCCTCCTCTCCCGCAACCCTCCCCAAACATCCGGTGGTATACTTTTTTCAAGCCGCCGCAGAGCTTCCGGCCCCTTTCAGCTCCCTGGGCCTAGTTTTTTTCCCCATATCCTAAGGATTGGGGTTCTTGTTATTACTCTGACGCCTCCCACGCGCGGACTCCTTCCTCCCGCTCGCGCCTCCCTCCTCCCAGTGATAATCACCAGATAAGACAAGACAAGATAAGATACTACAAGATAATATAAGATAGCACAAGATATGATAAGAAGAGATTTCAAGATAAGATAAGTTAAGCTCACACTCACACTCTCTCATGATCACAAAACGCTGCCAGGGGCATCATTTGGGAGCCCCAAGGGGGAGCCACCCTGGCTGATCTCACGAGCCCGTTCGCGCCGATTTTGGTGGGACGTCTCAGCTAGAATTGCCGTTTGGCGCCCCCAACATGTATCTCTTGAGAGCCTCATGGTCACAAAACGCTGCCAGGGGCATCATTTGGGAGCCCCAAGGGGGAGCCACCCTGGCTGATCTCACGAGCCCGTTCGCGCCGATTTTGGTGGGACGTCTCAGCTAGAATTGCCGTTTGGCGCCCCCAACATGTATCTCTTGAGAGCCTCATGGTCACAAAACGCTGCCAGGGGCATCATTTGGGAGCCCCAAGGGGGAGCCACCCTGGCTGATCTCACGAGCCCGTTCGCGCCGATTTTGGTGGGACGTCTCAGCTAGAATTGCCGTTTGGCGCCCCCAACATGTATCTCTTGAGAGCCTCATGGTCACAAAACGCTGCCAGGGGCATCATTTGGGAGCCCCAAGGGGGAGCCACCCTGGCTGATCTCACGAGCCCGTTCGCGCCGATTTTGGTGGGACGTCTCAGCTAGAATTGCCGTTTGGCGCCCCCAACATGTATCTCTTGAGAGCCTCATGGTCACAAAACGCTGCCAGGGGCATCATTTGGGAGCCCCAAGGGGGAGCCACCCTGGCTGATCTCACGAGCCCGTTCGCGCCGATTTTGGTGGGACGCCTCAGCTAGAATTGCCGTTTGGCCTCCCCAACATGTATCTCTTGAGAGCCTCATGGTCACAAAACGCTGCCAGGGGCATCATTTGGGAGCCCCAAGGGGGAGCCACCCTGGCTGATCTCACGAGCCCGTGACGAGAGAGAGAGAGAGAGAGAGAGAGAGAGAGAGAGAGAGAGAGAGAGAGAGAGAGGAAGCGAGAGAGAGGGAGAGGAGAGAGAGAGAGAGAGAGAGAGAGAGAGAGCGGAGAGAGAGAGAGAGGGGGAGTTGAGAGAGGAGACAGGCGAGAGAAAGAGAGAAGAGAGAAGAGAGAGAGAGAGAGAGAGAGAAGAGAGAAGAGAGAAGAGAGAGAGAGAGAGATAGAGATAGGAGAGAGAGAGAGAGAGAGGGGGAGTTGAGAGCGGAGACAGGCGAGAGAAAGAGAGAAGAGAGAAGAGAGAGAGAGAGAGAGAGAGAGAGAGATAGATATAGAGAGAGAGAGAAAGAGAGAGATGAGAGAAGAGAGAAGAGAAGAGAGAGAGAGAGAGAGATAGAGAGATAGAGATAGAAGAGAGAGAGAGAGGAGAGAGAGAGA